CTTGGGGGGTTGGGTCACCTGAAGTCAGAGGTTGCTCCCATGCTGGCCTGGGGGGGTTGAGACCACTCTCTCGTGTTTGGGGTCGAGCTGCAGTAGGGAGGAGGCCCTCCTCGCTCTACCTCTAGCAGGTATAGGTGCTTTAGCTGGGGTTTTATCCTTCCTTTTTTCAAAGTGGCTGGGACCTGTGCAGCAATGTTAGGCAGCTGAGAGATTGGGGGGGGGGGTTCTGGCCTCCCCAGGCTTTCTAGCTTTGCTTTGGTCCTGGGATCGAGGGCAGCATCTCTGCCGCCTTCCAAAGGGGGGCACCTCCTGGAGACCCAGTAAGGCAAACAAGCCACGCTGCCGAGGACAGACCTGCAGGTCAGCAGCTGACTTCACCGCTTCCCTCCTGGATCCTAGCAATCCATAGGAGGTTAGTTAGTGAGCAAGGAGTCTCATTCAAACCAAGCAGGCCCTTCTGAATATTATAGAATTTGGGGGGAAAAAGGGGGGATGATTAGATTGAATTAAGACAAATGGATGATGAAAGAACGATAAACAACATATAGATTAAAGGTTGACATTTGCATAAATGGTATTTACATTTGTAAATAAGCACAAAATAGAAGTTTGAGAGATAGATGCCACATACTGTGAATGTCATAATATGTATATTTTTTGGTTCGGTTTTTAAAGATGCAAAAGATTAATAACGTTTATTAAAAAAACAACCACCAGGCTTTGCAAGGTATTTTCCCCCGGACGGCCCCTTCCTGGAATCACACCCCTCCCCGTCCGGTCCATAGTTCTTGTGCTGGCTTGTCAACCCTGCCTCTTTTCCCAAACAGCCGCCGCCGCCGCCCTGAGGTTTAGCTCCTGGTTTCCTGCTCTCTGTTGGGATGGCCCCTCCGCCTTAGCTCAGCCTCTCCTTGCCAGCTGCCTTCCAGCCCCACCATGAAGAGCCAGAGATTTACCGAGGGGTCCCAACTGGCCCCTTGCTCTCTTCTCCCCTGGAGCCGTCTCCCCCGTCGTCTGCCCTGTGCAAGAAGTGTGCAAGGAGTCACTGATCCTCAGACATCTCTGGGATTTCAGACCGTAACAAAATTCTGGCTCGGCCGCAACTGCCGATTGCAATTGAGGAACAGGGCAAAGCCACCATTGGGGTTGGATGCTAGTCTCTCTAGAGCAGGGGTGTTAAACTCAAGGCCTGCAGGGCAGGTGCTTAAATACGGCCCATGGGGCCAGCCTGGGAACACCAAAGGACCAGCCCACGGTGCCTCTGCTGGCCAAAACAGGTTGCGTACAGCCCCCCTTCCCACCCCCCCGTGGCCTGTTTTTAGCCTCCTCAGCTTCCCACAGTTCTCTGCTGGCCAAAAACGGGCCACGAGGAGGCCTCCACGCAGCCATTTTTGGCCAGCACAGTGCTGCTGGAGACTGGGGAGGCTAAAAACAGGCTGTGCAGGGGCCTCGGGAGGCCTCTGCAGCCCATTTTTGGCTGGCAGAGCGCTCTTGTAATCTGGGGAGGGCAAAAGTGAGGCGCAGGGGGCTGCACGTGGCCCCCTGCACCTCATTTTGGATGGTAAAGCGCTGCAGGAGGCGTCCATCCTGTCTCCCCCAAATTCCCCACCCTTGCCAGCCCGTGGAGAACTCCAATGCGGACCCGGCCCTCAAAGAAATCCAGTTTGACATTCTTGGTCTACAACAGGGGTCTCCATCCTTGGCCACTTTAAGACTTGTGGACTTCAACTCCCAGAGTTCCTCACCCGGCAAAGCTGGGAGTTGAAGTCCACAAGCAAAGCTGGCTGAGGGATTCTGGGAGCTGAAGTCCACAAGTCTTAAAGAACCCTGCTCTCCAGTATCCTCACTTTTCTTCCTAACCATCCGGCATGTCCCATTTCTTGGCAGGTGGCTGGAGAGTACAAGTACCACCCGGAGTGCTTTGCCTGCATGCAGTGTAAAGCGATCATTGAAGATGGTGACTCCTACGCTTTGGTGCAGCACTCGGCTCTCTACTGGTACGGAGAAGCAGCAACGCTCAGCCGTGGGTTTGGGTGGCTCTCTGGGACCAGGAAAGTCTTCTGCTCTGCGCTTGGGAGAATGGCAGAGAACGCTTGTGTGCTTCCCTGCTTGCATTCCCCCCCCGCCCGGGGTGGGTGGGGGTGGGTGGGGGGGCAGGGTACTCGAGAGCTCGTTCAGGCCCTCAACCACTCTGGTTGGGCATCAGCAGCATGGAGAGTCAAGTGGATCTTCAGGGCACCAAGTAAGGCGAGGCTGCGCGAGACGGTTCTGCTTTCCCACTCTCCATACCCATGTGCCAGGGCCTGGGATTTGGGTTCAGGAATCTGGAGGTGTGTTCTGTTTGTAAGAGACGGGGGTTGATCCCTTGGCCAGCTGCCCTTAAGTGGTCCCGCCACCCAGATCCCTTAGTGGCCTCACTAAGCGGGAAGCTTGGAAGGCAGGCGGCCGTCCCCACGTTGTCTTGGAATTCCTCTGAGACCAAGTGGAACATGGTCAGCCAAGTTTCCCCTTGGACCCATAGCCCTGGAATCTGGGTGCTTTCCCTCTTCCCGGCCACCGTGGTTCTACAGGGGGAGATAACCCCAAGGGCAAAGAGGGAATGTTGGAAGCCAAGCCTGCCTGAATGGAGGCCTTGTCTTTGCAACCAGCAGCATAGTAGGGAAGGTGGATGGGCAGCTTCCTAGCTGGCAGCCTGGGCACGGGAAGCACACCCAGCCTTCTCTGCCTAAACTAACAGCTGAACCGCCTTCTCCTTTTTCAGTGGCAAGTGCCATAACGAGTTTGTGCTGACTCCAATGCTCGAGCGACTGTCAGCAGAGCCCCTGTGCGAGCAGCTGCCGTATACCTTGACGCTTCTCTCCATGCCTGCAGCCACCGATGGCAAAAGGGGGTTCGCTGTGGCTGTGGAAGGGGGCTGCTCCCCCTATGCTGCTACCGTGGAAGTGAAGGAGTGAGTATGAAGCTCTCGCGGCTGAGAAACGCCCGGGGTTTTTGCTCTGGTCCAAGCGCCGGGAGGTCGAAATGAATAGTATTGTGTGGCTTTGCATTTTCGTTCGAGCTTCTGGCGTGATGCCTGTGGCTCCTGTCGCCTTGAGCGATGGCCTTCATTGCAAAAGCAGCCCCTTTTGATCCCCCCAGTGGCACTAATGCCATTCACTTCCTGTTCTTCCAAAAGGTTCCCTCAAAAGGATCCCAATACAATGCATTTGCAACACATTGCCATTGTTAGTGGATACTGCGTCTGTTACTTGCCTCACATGTAACCTGCATTTGCATAATCCTCGACTCACCCCAGTTTCAGTCTTGCATCAGAGGAGGAACAGCCGACAGGGAGTGGGAGTGTGGCTCCGGAGGTTGTGGAGGAAACTGGGGAAGGGCACAGGCTGGCTGGGCAGTCAGAGAAAGACCCAGGCCCATCCCCTCTTCATGCAGGGAGGAGTGGATAAGGGAGAAACGTGAATGGTGTGGTCTATAGGGGAGGAAAAGGCCCTGATCCCCTTCATGGGCTGCAGCTGTGAGGACTGTTTAAAAGGACAAACTGCTCATGGGCCAGTGCTGGAAGCAAAGCGTGAAAATATTTCTAGTTTGTCAGTTCTTATCTGAGTTCTGGTGTCCTTCCCAGTGTGTGTATTTCAATATCTGTGGACGTCTTCAAGCCCTTATCCTGCCTGGTCTCCTTAATTGCTTCAGCGTGGTTTGTGTTGTTTTTTTCTATTTATAATTTATATGTATTTTGAGTTTGAATGAGATTTCTTCCTTTTCGCAACTGTTTGTGGGGGAGTTTTTTCTCCAGTCAATGATAATTGGACTTTGGAGGCCAAGTTGAAGGAATTAAAGGGACTTCACCTGTTTATGTGACTTGGTTGCTTTTGTATCCCACCCTGGGTGGGTCATCACACCAGCCGATGCAATGCAATCTTGCATCTACCTTTGAGGGGGGAAAAACATCTTAGTTGGGAGAAGTGATGCCAGACTCCTCCTCACAAAAGACTTTCGAGTAGAACAGTTTCCGTGAAAGGGAACAACAATGATCAAGGGACTGCAAAACCTACCACAATTCATTTGCTGCCCATCTCGCTGTGGAGCTACTCTGGGCAGCTTACAAACAATTTAGGGCCAGAGGATGCCCTTCTCTTCCCCCTACCCCGTCTCTCCTCCCATCCCTGCCCTTTTGGCTGCCCGGCACTCCCATCACTGCCCAACCCTGCCACCCCCTTCGCTGTCATCTTCCTCCCAGACCAACTGGATTGTCGCTTTGAACGGACACTAACCGACACTCAGGAAAATGAAATTTCGTTGCATGCGGCTCTCAAAGGGTCTCCACCTCCAATACGCACTATATGATCATGACTAAATACATAAATACAAAATTATGCACGTAAACCACGTATATTATATGACACGGAGAAACAAACAGCTCCAACCGAAGCAGCGGCTGGCCCTCCCAGCAGCAGCGGTGGGTGGGAGGGAGGGAGAAGATAAGGTCAGCTGGGGGCAGCAGGGGTAGGTGGGGATGGAGTGTGGAGGGTCTCCAAAGAGAGGGAGAGAGGTAGGCCAGTAGCGGGGGGCCTTGGAAGCCCACCCTCCGGTTATAATAAGGACAGCGGGCACCCAAACGTTGACCCTGTGTTTCCAGGGGCCCTGCAACCGCCGTAACTGAGGGCTGCTCCTAACCACCATTCGTTCATCACTGTTGCAACTGTCACTGAGTTCTGATTCAAACCTTTATTGTCAGAGTACAGCGAGATTGGCTGAGACAGACAGTCCCTAATCCAATGAATCCTACTGAGGAAACGCACCGTTCCTACTGCACCATGTGACCTTGTTGCGCAATGCGCCGGCCGCACCAGTCTGTCATACTATGTTGACACGAAGTTATTTTCCATTCAGGAGTCTGACAGTAGAAGCTCTTCTTCAGCCTGTCGGTGCGGGGTGCCCGTGCTTCTGTATCTTCTTTCTGATGGTAGGAGGGTGAAGAAGGGCTGACCAGGGTGTGAGTCGTCCCTGAGGATTTTCCTCCCTCTTCTAAGGCAGCGAGCCCCTAGCGAGGTCATCTAGTGGTATCAGGGAACAGCCCACGATGTTCTGTGCTGGGCGTTCACCACCCTCTGTAGTGCCTTTCTATCCGCGTACCACACCGTCATGCAGTGAGTGAGTGAAGAAAAAGGTCATTAAGTGAGGACTGCCTACGCTTCTTACTAGAAGGAAATGCTTCCTGGGGCGTCTTCCTTCAGGGGTGGCTTATGGCATTGCTTGCCCTTTTTTCCTCTCCCGTTTGCTATCTGGTCCCTCAAAGAGACTCGTGGAGGAGGCAAATCCTCCTGATCTCAAGCCATGTTTTTTTCCTCTGGGTTCAGAGTCAACCGAAGGCACATCAGCCCCGATGTCCAAAATGCCATTCACCCCGGGGACAAAATTCTGGAGATCAATGGAAACCCAGTCCGCACACTGCAAACTGAAAAGGTGGGTTCTGAACGGTCCTTCTTGTTTCCTGCTGTCTCATAACGGAGAGGGAACCCAGGGGTGGACTGCAGCCAGTTTAACAACCGGTTCGGTGGGTGTGTGTTTTGCACGCGTGTGCGCCTAAGGCACTTGCATGCAGCACTGAAAATGGAGCCTCTAGATCAAGTCATCTTCAAACTTGGCAAGTTTAAGACTTGTGGACTTCAGCTCCCAGAATTCCCCAGCTAACATGACTGGAGGAGGAATTCTGGGAGTTGAAGTCCACCAGTCTTAAAGCTGTCACAGTTGAAGACTCCTGAGTTAGAAGCTCAGCTTCTTACCTTCCAAGTCAGCAATGATAAGTAGAACAGCGAGGGGGGGGGGATCAGCTGTGCCGTGCGATTGAGATGAGCTAGAAAGTAGGAAATAAAGGGCAGGATAGGTCAGGTGGGCGGGACCAGCTGATTGTTGGAACTGCCGGTTCACCCGAACCTGTCCAAACTGGCAGCAGCCCAGCACGGGAGGGAACGTAGGGCCTCTTGGGGGCAGGCGCTGGGTTTTGGAGCTCCCGCCAAGTTCTCAGCCTCTCTAAGTAATTGTGAAAGACCTTCTTTCCTCTGAAGACAGAGAGAGCGCGAAGAGACGAGCAGGCTGGCTGGCTGAAGGGCCTTGCAGGAATTGCCTTCTGCTTCGGAACAGGGGTCTCCAACCTGGGCCACTTTAAGACTTGTGGACTTCAACTCCCAGAATTCTCCAGCCAGCAAAGGCACTTCTTCCCGTGTTTTCCTATTTTCTAAAACAAAAATAGGATTTTTGTATTTTTTTTGTCTCTCTTCCTGAGTGCCCGTCGAAAAACTTGCATATGCTATTTTGATTTTCATCGCAGACTTATACGACATATAAATAAAGGAGCCCTGATCAGGAAAAGTGGCTTAAACAGCCAAAGACGTGCTTTTAATTGAGTTGTTTCTTAAGAAAATGAGCAGCCAGAGAAACGCCTCCTTCATCCAACCCAGGTTGATGGAGGACGGTCGTCAATCTGTTGTTTTGGAAACCTTTTCCCACAGCACGGCCCAATTCCCTGAACTCTTTTCCTTCTCAGGTCAAAGAACTGATTCACAAGACGAATCAAACCCTTCAGCTGTTAATCGAACACGATCCGGTCTCTCAGCGTTTGGACCAGTTGCGCCTGGACTCCCGGCTGTCCGGAGGCAATAAGAAGCCCTCCACCCCTTCTATTTCTGCCTTGGAGCTCAAGGAGAACCTGGAAGGGACCCTGCGGCGGCGTTCCCTCAGGTAAACATCCCCGGACTCCAGAATGGCCTGCTAATCTCCAGCTAGGAGGTGGAAGCACAAGCAAGTGCTACCCTCTGGCCATAACCCTCCTGACCCTGCCAGTTTGGCTGGAGCGCTGCTATCATGCCCCTGTCAGAGTCTGATTCTGAGGAGGAAGATGAACAGCTGACAGGGAGTGGGAGTGTGGCTTCGTTGGCTGTGGAGGAAACTGGGGAAGGGCAAAGTCAGGCTGGGCAGAGCAGGGGAGAGGTAGAACAAGGGAGAGGGAGTTCAGAGGATGAACCAGGCCCACCCCCTCTTCATCCTAGGGCATGCAGGGAGGAACGAAGAAGAGAACAATGTGGGTTGCATGACTTACGGGGGGGAGGAAAGGGCCCTGATTCCCTTCATTAGCCACAGCTGGGAAGACAGTTGATAAGAAGGGCAGGCTGCGTGTGGCAGGCTGCTGGGAACAAACGTGACTTTAGCCTGTGTTGTCGTGGCTTATCTGTGTTCCTGGCGTCTTCCCAACCGTGTGAGTTTTGCCGTGCCTTCACATCTGGAATTCTTGCTCCTGCCCTGCCAAACTAATTATTTCAGTTTGGCTTGCTTGGACTTTAAGTTACAGTTTGTGTTGCTCATGTTTTAGACTTAATTCTCGGCAATCAAAGGCTGTTCCTGGGAGAGTTTTTCTCCAGCTAGAAGGTAACCTGGACATTGGGGGCAAAGTTGGAGATAATAAAGGGACTCTTATTGCTTATCTGATTGTGTTGCCTTCGTGCCACGCCCCGGGTCATCACAGCTGCTTAATTGACCTGAGGTCTAGTAACAGAATCTCAAAAGCCTGATCAGGTTTGCCCTTCCCCCTCCCCTCCCTCCTACAGCTCAGGGTGCACTCAGTCTGAGTTGCTTCCTGGTGTTCAGGGGACTGGAGGCTAAAACATACGAAGAATGGTTGCTGGAACTGGGTATGTCTAGTTTGTGCTTTTAAAGTTGTACCAACGTTTCGGCAGAATCTCATCTGCCAGAAGAAACCTTCTGGCAGATGAGATTCAACCGGGATAAAGGTTTCTTCTGGCAGATGAGATTCTGCCGAAACGTTGCTACAACTTTAAAAGCACAACTATAATGACGTGGGAAAATACCCGAACAAAGCTGAATACCATACATGTAAGTACCTGCGAAAACTTAAGAAAACATATACACTGCTCACAAAAATAAAGGGAACACTTAAACAACACACAGTATAAATGAAATCCAATATACCTGTTACATTAATTTCTCTTATTGCTCTATGAATACATCTAATCCCTTTTAGTTTATTCTATTTTCTATCCATTGGTAAAAGAAGTTCCGTGCCATATAATATTCAGATTCTTCTTTTTCTTTAATTTCTAGTGTCCGTGTCTTCATTTCTGCACATTCAAATATTTTTTGAATTATTTTTCCGTCCATTGGTATCTTATCACTCTTCCAGTTTTGGGCAAATACAATTCTAGCCACTGTTAACACATGTATAATTAAATAAATCTTTCGGTACCCTTCCTAGTAAAAATATTTCAGGGCTTCAAATCTTTGTTGTTTAATCATTTTCTCCAACCGTGTGTGTATTTTAGTCCAAATACCTTTTGGCTTCTGTGCAAGTCCATCACGTATGGCAATATGTTCCTGGTATTTGATGACATTTCCAGCATTTAATTGGTTTATCTTTAAACATTTTAAGCTCAAATTTCTTTGGGTAGACTAGACTGAATGTGTGTTGTGTTCCAGGCGAAGCAACAGCATCTCCAAGTCCCCTGGGCCCAGCTCCCCTAAGGAACCGCTCCTCCTGAGCCGCGACATCAGCCGATCGGAATCCCTTCGCTCCTCTAGCAGCGGTTCTCAGCAGATCTTCCGCCCCTGCGACCTGATCCATGGGGAGGTGCTGGGCAAAGGTTTCTTCGGCCAAGCCATCAAGGTGAGGGACCCCCGACCCCTTTCCCAACACCCAGGCATCACCTGTTAATTCCATTCCCCCCACCCAAGGAGCCTTGGGGACGATCCTTGAACTTAAATGAATTGTAGAATTCAACAGAGAACTGTGCGTGTAGAGCAGGCGTCTCCAAACTTGGCAACTTTAAGACTAGTGGACTTCAACTCCCAGAATTGCTCTCTTAAGTCCGCTAGTCTAAAAGTTGCCAAGTTTGGAGACTTCTAATGTAAAGCTTGCTGGTTCCACCCTGCTTTCTGTGTATCATCAGAGTTCTGCCACCGCACCTGGATGGCAGTACAGGTAGTCCTTGACCTGTGACCCTTTGTTTAACAATAATTCAGAGTTACAAAGTTCAGTGGCCTTGAAAAGGTCTCAGATTGATGCAATTCCTTTTTTAAAAAAAAAAATTAAAATAAAGTTTATTTAAGTTTCATATACTTAAAACATTTAAAAGGAAACAAACATATGAAACAAATATATGTACATATATACATTTTGCAGCAGTTATTGAGCATTGATTACATTATTTTTCTTTTTTTCTTTTACCCCATAACATTGACGTGATCTACCTTGTTACAATACCTTCCTCGTTCTTTTAATATTTTAATTTCACAGAATACTTTATAATTAAATGTACATCCTTCATAATTTCATAACTTATTCAGTTGTAAAATGTTGCTTTTTCTTTAACCATTTGTACCAACAGTTCTAAACTTTGTAGTATTCACTATCTTTGTTGTTTTTTAGTAATTTGGTTAGGCTGTCCATCTCTGCACACTTGTGAATTTTTTTAATGACCATCTCCTCTGAAGGGACAATAGACAGTTTCCAATTCTGAGCACAACTTATTCTGGCTGCCGTTATAATGTGCAAGATTAAATATTGATTTTTTTTTCTATTTTTGAGTCTATCATACCCAACAAAAAGGTTTCGGGTTCAAGTTTTACTTCTTATTTAGTTATATTTAGAATCCAATTTTTGATATTTTTCCAAAACTTCTGAGCAAATGGACATGTTCACCACATATGGAAGTATGTTCCCTGGATGCAGTTACACTTCCAGCAGTTTGGGGGGAGGTTCGGGAACATCTTAGCCAGTCTCGCGGGTGGCAAGTGCCAACGATACACCATTTTATAGAGATTCTCTTTGTACGAGGCTGACATAGTTAGTTTGTAGTTTATTTCCCAAATATGTTCCCACTTGTCTAATTGAATACTGTGGCCCACATTTTTTGCCCAAATTATCATAACCTCCTTGATTGTTTCTTCTTTTAATTTATAATCCAATAGATATTCATATATTTTACTAATCAACTTCCTTTCCTCTCCATGCCAAATTTTATCTAATTCTTGGTATGTCGTGTTAAAACCAAATTGTTCTTTATCTTTTTTTATAATGCGTTTGTATCTGCGCATAGGGCCACCATGCGATCTCTTTTCCTTGAATTTGTATTTGATTCCTACCCTTTAACTCTCCGATTTGATGTAATAGATCTTTATATCTTACAATATTATCAAAATCTAAAACGTTGTGTAACTGCCTCCATTGTAGATAACCACAGTGGGACCTTTCAGTAATGTACTTTTTTATCTTTTCCCAAATATTTAGTAGCACGTTCCTTATATAATGCCTTTGAAAGTAGAAGTGGTGTTTACTCTTTCCATCCCACATAAATGTGTGCCATCCAACTTGGAGATCAAAGCCCTCTAATGTTAAGATCCTTTTATTTATCAGATTAACCCAGACTTTAAGCCAGGTTGCTATTGCAGCATAGTATGCTTTGAAATCTGGAAGACCAAAGCCTCCTTTCTTTCTATCATCCTGTAATAATTTATATTTTATTCTGGGTTTTTTCCCTTGCCATATAAATTTGGATATATGTTTATTTAATTCTTCAAAAAAGCTTTTTTCCAACTGAAAATAATTTGACCCCCAATCCCTCAAGTACTAGAAGACTGCTATCATGTCACCCCTAATTCTTCTTTTCTTTAGACTAGCCAAACCCAAATCCTGCAGCCGTTCTTCCTATGTTTTAGTCTCCAGGCCTTTGATCACCTTAGTTGCTCTTCTCTGAACTTTTTCCATTGTCTTTTTTGTAGTAGGGTGACCAAAATTGGTTGCAGTATGATGAGCATCTCTTCAACCCCTTCATCATTCATGAAGAAGTTGAAGAGCCCTGGGACCGTTGATCTTTGAAGAGCCCTTAAGCCCTTAAAACTTTGCCTCGCATTTGCAGTCATTCCTTTGATTGTATCCCTTTAAATGAATGGCACCCAGCTAATTGGTCTGCTGTAGCACATTCCACCCTGAAGTCTACAACAAGTGAAATTAGGTTGTCCAGCCTGAGGCAAACAGATGTTATCCCTTGTAGCCTGTAATCCAAATATAGCAGCCCCTGGATCTAGAAAAGCCCTGTCAAAGCATGGTAGCTGATCTAACTGTCGCTAACATTGGCGGTACCTCTTGCGTCCTATCCTGTAAATAAGTGCCTTTTAACATAAACTCTTAGATAAGAAGGTTCCAGCTGATATAATTGGTTAATTTCCCCAGAGGGTCTTCAATAAAATCAGATGTAGCCCATATATGTATATGAGGGTACTTTAGTTAAGAGGTCACATCTAACTGTCTCATCACAAATGCTTTGTTCAACCGGGAGAACAGGCTTTTGCGGAGAATCTTCACGCACGCTGGGTCCCTGACTCCTTTGTAAGGAATGTTGAGAAGAGTTTAAACTTGTCTTCATTGTCTTGGAGTGGGCCCTTAACACAGGGTGTAAAAAGAACATCCGTCCACCTAGTGGTAGCATTAGGAGGGGTTCTTTAGGGTACCTTGACTTGGCTCCCAATTTCCCCAAGGGCCTTCCCCATGTGTAGACGAGTGCCCAGAGGAGAGGTTCGGCTTTTAAAGGGTTTTCTCACACCATTGACTGGCATTGTTGATGCAGAATGAATGGAGCCATCTCCTGATAATTAACTTTCCGGCAAAGTTAATTAAGAGGGAAAAAGACTCTTGGAGCGACTGCTCAGAAGCAGGAAGATTAAACCGAGGCAGTCTGCGACAGTATTTTTTTTTCTTTTAAGATCTTGGATTTTTTTTAATTAGAGGGAGTCATGTCAGCAGTTGTCTTTCCTTTGACTTTAAGCTTCATTCTTGATTGACTCAAGAGTTATTTTGTGAGCCTTTTAGAGCTGCCAGAGGTTTTGCTGACTCCCAGATCTGCAATATTGCAAGTCTGAGATTTTCTCTCCTGGACGATGCATCTTCTGTTCCCCTTCTGACATCTGGCAGTAGGTGGTTATTGATCCTGGCTCAAAGGGACCAAGCACAGGTTCTTCAGTCCACAGCAAAAAAAAAGGGGGGGGTGATTGGTATTTGATATCTATCCCCTATTAGAGGCTTTGTGGAAATCCTGGAGAAACCCCCAACTTCTTCTATTTGAGAGAGTTCGCACATTGCCTAGACTCACATAAGGATATTTCCAGAGGATCTCAGACAGATTCTCATCTTCAGGAAGGTTGTTGGAATAGCCAGGTGGCTAATCCTCTTTCTGCCTTTATAGCTGGGAAGCCTCTTACCATCAAGTTGCTTGCAGGTGGCAGTGAAGTTGGTGTAAATTAAGTGTGGCAGATACTGTCCTCCTAGCATATAGAAAACCGTTTTCTTGTGTTGATAGGTCGAGAGCACAGTCTCTATTTCTGCCAGTGTTTTCCCATTAAGCAGTTTAGGTTAAAGTCAAATGATATGACTGTATTTTTAGCAATGTTTTTTTATAAGCCCATCAAAGAAACTCTTTAACTCTTCTATTTTTGTTGAAATTGAAGTTATTTATGGATTTTACAGTCTGGGCTGTTAGAAACAGTTTTTAGGCACTGTGTTAGGAGTTGTAATATTAAGAGATATTTGTTTCAGCACACAGTAAGCAAGCCAGATGTTCGGACTGGATTTGACATTTTTACCTGCCTATCAAGTCCTTCCTAAGCACCTGGGATAGGCAGGTGTGGAAGTTTGATGGTTTTAAAAGTATTGTTGCAGGATGTAAGCTGTTCCAAATGAAGCTGCCTTTTGTAATTGACTGATGGTGAAATTGTTAGTGCTGATTATTCAGAGTTTTGCAGCATTAATTCAGCGCTAGAAAAATAACCACAGATGGCTGATGCTTCATTTAACATCTTTATAAACATAATAAGTAGATTTTACAAACCAGTTGTAGATTTCTCCAGCATGGGGCAAACTCAGACAGAAACATGTTGCGAGTTCAGAGCAGAGCTCCAGTCTTCAGCAAGCAAGTTAGTTTCTCTGTTACGTTAGTTCAGCAGGCAAGCAAGAGGAGAGAAGCCGTTTCATCTTCAATAGACAGACTCGGAGCTTCACAGAGCTTTAGAGCTGCAGAACTTAACATAGCTGCAGAGTTGCAGAGCTTAATAAGGAACCATGCCTAGGCTACTTTTAGTTTCAGTTTCCAGCCTAGGCTAATTCTAGTTTCAGTTTCCTAACAGTTCTCATTGGCTGACCTTGTAACCCTACTCTATTCCAGTTCATGAATATACTCTTGACACTGATGATGTTCAAGTGGTGTTCTAGTTGTTTTAAGATTGCACCCAATGTGCCTATTACTATTGCTACTACCTTTGTTTCTCTTTCCACAGTCGCTCTATTTCTATTTTCAGGTCTTTATATTTTGTTATCTTCTCCAGTTCCTTCTATTCTGCTGTCTTCAGCTATTGTCATGTCCACTATCCGGACTTCAGAATTCAGACCGATGGCCAGTCACCTGCTGCATAACATGCCAGACTTACAATTGTCCATGAGAAAGACAAAAAGGGGAAATATTATCTAAATTATTACTGTCTGAGAAATTTATGTTATTTTTTAATATCAACAGATGACTTGCCACTAGTTTTATCTCAGGGGTCTTTCTCCTGAATTTGCTTTTCTTCTGTATTTGGTGATATATAGTTTGAGAAATTTATGCTGAAGCGAATAAG